TCGCTCAGGTCTGATGATCAGATCAAGGTCACTGTTCATGCTCCTCAGAATGAAGAACATGGCCGGTACCGTCAGCCCTCTCGAATGTCAACATCAAGGTCAACCAGCGATCGGGGTAGATTACAGAAGCCAGTATCTCGAGTATATGCCTCTCGCAGTTCACTTGCAAGCTCTACTCGAAGTCGAGGAAGTGCTCCTTTCCGTGCTACCGTTGGTCACAAACGTGGTGTAGAGTTCTCACATGCCAGGGGACGATCATCAAGTAGTCAAAAGATTATGTCTACAAATGGCCCATTAACTTCTGTAGGAGAGCAAGCAGCAGGAGCTGATGAGAAAGCTTCTATACAACCTGCCATTGAACATTCTACCTCAACACGTTACATACGATCGAAAAAGCCACAAGCAGGAAGCACGAAGGTTACTACTACTATCATACAAAAATCTGGACGTGGCAGTCTAATATGGAGAGATGATGTCCGCCAATTGAGCAGCAGCTTGGCCAAAGACTGCGATGAAGCGTTCAACAGAACATCCGTCGTTTCTTCAACTACTTCCCAGAATAAATCGCGATTCTCAGGAAATTCAAGCGTGGCTTCTCGCTGTCCTTCGCCTATGCTTAATGTGCCAGCGAAAAGTCAAACGCTCAGACACGGACCTTTCGATTCACGACCATTACCTCCGCCACCTGCTAGATCGGATTCTGTCAAAAAGGAATTGTTAGAAGCACGCGAGCAGGCTACACTGCGCATGGCTTCTGGAGAAGATTCCCCTGGATACATTGATCGTATGGTATCACACATTGATCGTCTTATACTACCTCCATCTGCATCTCCATTGCTTACACGCCAAGATCGCCGCGCAGTTTCTGCACCTGCAGAAACTAAACAAAAGAATTATACCCGGCCGTTGCCTGCGATCAATGAGGCATATGGAGATGAACTATCCCCTCGAAAAGTTGAATCTGACCGCATCGCATCAGCTCCTGAACCTCGTACGTTCAAGAAGAACTCCAAGTTTTTCAACGAAAGAGAAACAATCCGAGTGGTTAATGCTTCCGCGGCATCTTTCAGCCCTGTTAAAGCTCCAGCTCCTCTTACTATCAGGAAGAAAAGCTCACAAAGCGGTCAAATAACGGGTCAATCTGGGCAAGAATCTTTCGACGACTCTCTCAAGAACCAATCTTCTGGTCAGGGACTTCGTCACCAATATTGTGCCAACCCGAAGGCGGATGTCGGACCAGAATTATCTCGTATTGATGAAGACTCTAACCTAGATGATCCGTATGCTCAGGATAGTAACGCGGGAACCATAGTGAAGAAGCGATCAGGTTGGTTTAGACGCAATTCCAAGGCCAGTGATGAAGGCGAATCTAGAAGTTCATCAATATTAGGAAATGAAACTTTATTATCGCAGTCATCAAGCAAGAGTGGTGGTCGAAAGTCAGAACTAGAAGATTTTCCACCGATTCCACCGACAAAGAAAAAGGGGTCCATTCTTGGTAGGCTCTTCAAGAAAAAGCTACCAAAAACCGGCATGACTGTTGCCAGTGAGTTAAGCCTAAAATATTTTGATGTTTATGAGACTAACAGGTCGACAGCACATGATATGTTCGACGAGGACATGAGTATTCAAGATTCTATTGCGGATTCCAGACAACAGAGTCGCCAAAATCGTATACATCAGACAACACAAGCACGTCAAATCGAGCCCCAACAAAACTGGCTGGCCAAGTTATTCCATGTAAAGCCCGCTTCCAAATTTATTTGCTTCTCCGTTTCGAGACGTACAGCAAGATTGGAGATTGCTAAGGTGCTCAAAGATTGGAAACGATATGGCATTAAAGATGTTCAGGTTGATAAGCAGAGGAACATAGTCTTTGGCAAAGTCGGCTCAGAAAACTGTAAGTCTTATTTGTGAGTTTTCTAAAACATATTACTGACACCAAATAGTCCTGAACCTAAAAGAGGTCTCATTCGCCGCTGAGATATTAACTGTTTTCGAACATCTGGACCGTGGCAGAAAGATAAATCTCGCTGTAGCACGAATTACACAGGAAAGAGGTGCGGCAAGCAGCTTTCATAAAGTTGTAGAGACCTTAGATTCCGTCCTACAAGTTCGTGGAGTTCTCGTCATGGACGAAGAAAAGAAAAGAATGATGGTGAGAACAGTAAACTCAATGATAACCAACACCGTTATTTCTTAACCCAAAGCTCACGGCGTCCGCCAATTTTCGATATTCTATATCGTTAATACCCCACGATTTGGACATTTGCGTATGGGGATGTATCTCTCTACACTCACTCAAGATTGGACACACTCGAAATCCTGGTTTATCACATTGCAGTATTTGGATGATACCTGCTTTTTTTTTTGTAGATATACTATGTTCAGTATAGTGAGTTTCTTTGGCATTTGCATAGAGTGGTGGATAGTTGAGTTGCGTTGCATAAAGGAGTTGTAAAAAGTAACTTAATATTCTTCACACAACAGCAAAAAAAGGGGTAGAAATTATGGTAGACGGAGGTCAAAAGGCGGTCCGAGTTTATTACCAAAAAGAGATGAGAGCGTTAAAGATGATTGATTTTCTTTTTACTTTCGAATAGGGGAAAAAGTGTTCTTTTTCGCTCGTGTACTTAGGAAATCCGATTTCTTTGATTCATGTTGATGGATATATATTCATGCTTTTGGTGATGTGACTTGTACAGCTGGTATTTCATGGGACATGCTGAATCCCGTGATGATGCTTTTCCCCCTCGCAATCCTACATAGTACACATACGTATAAGTGCATAGCCGAGATATCTTTCGTATGAGAGCTTTCATTCTACGCATCCAACAGATTCGACATTGGTTTACCTGGCGAGACTTGGTAGATGTATAGATATACATTGCTATTAGGAGATCTCAGTTCCCATGGTTAAACGGTGAAGTTGATACTGGATCGGTATGTTTTCGTCACAGGTTGAGTGGTGTCGTGTTGCGTTGTATTACTACCAACTACATAGGTATCTAGTAGGTATCTGATGCCAATGCCCTCTTTGGGAAAGAAGGATGCTGATCGTCATGGGGTTAAGAATGTGACAATCTAAATACTTGAGCAAATATTCTTGGGAGTAGTAATATTACTTCTCTCCGGACTATCGAGGATGCTTTTTCCATCGCAGACATTTTATATCACTTTCAATATTATCATACAGAGTCAGAAGAAAGTAGATACCGACACACTTGAATAAAGAACCACGATCGACAAAGCATTCCACCAAACTCCACAATCATGCATACTATGCACCTAACCATACCATCTCCACCACGAAATCTCCACGCTCTCGGTTAATATTAATCGAAGCCTTGTAAATCAATCCATTCCATCCACATCCCCATTCCCATTCCCATCCCACGGCACCCATCCATCCATTTGCCTCCACCCCAGAAGCGCCACCAAAACCACCAAAACGGTTATCACGGCAATCCATTGTCATGCATACAATGCGAATCCCCATCCGAGCCGATCGATCCATCCTATGGGTAATATCTAGGTCCATGGGTAGTATACCTTATACTTAATACCGGAAAGGAAAGGCCATCTACATGGGGAATGGACGAGGCGGGGAAAAAAGAAGCGGGGGGATTGGTATATTTGTGTATTTTTCCGATCTCTGGGATTCTTTCGCATATCATATCATATCATATCATATCGCCTCAACTCCACTAAAAATTGATTCTGAGGATACGTATAGGTAGTTCTAATGTCTAAATTCTTGGGGTAATTACCTGTCAAGTAAACTTAAACCTGTGGCTTGATGCTTGATGATTGCTGCATGCATGTTTCCGTCTGTAGCATACCGTACCGGACGGTACCCCAGGATGAAGAGTGAGTGGAGTTATCGTATCGTATTGTTACATCTTGCAAACACAATCACCCGTCCTGCATATCCTTATATATATCCATACTTGGTAGATACATAATAGTAAGGCTTAGTGAGAACCATTGTGTCGAGACCCGGGATTGTGGTTTATCATGGGGAGGTACCTATGTACCTCTATAAATAAGCGAAAAAACAGGCCGGAATTGACTACTGGTAAAGCTCTTCGATAGTCCAATTGTTCTATTTCAATTCAGAGAATCAAATGTTTATATAATTTTTACAATTGAAGATTATTCAAAGATTTATTTAATATTATTAACTTTGCTGATTTTATTGTTGATCAATTTCTTGTAGAACTTATTAGAGTGGTCAATTTTGGCCTCGTTTTTCTCCCAAGTAGAGTCTACCCAGCTATGAAGACCTACCCTACCTAGCAAAATCGATGCCTAGGTGTATATACAGGATGGATATAATTCCAAAGTGAAGCTATGCATAATCAGTAGATAATGTTAAAGGTTTTCTATGGTATATATATTATGTTGAGAATTTATATAATATATATACAATATAGAATTCTTTACACAATATACTTCACTTACATAATATCGAAACCTCTGAATATCTAGAAGGACTCCGAAAACTAGACCATGTCATCTGGTGTGGTTCTACCTTTAGCTCATGCGTCATCTCGAACAAGATAAGTTCTGTGGTTCCGATTTACGCAGCATACGGTGCCACCGAAGCTGGCCCTCTTCCTCTGGTCTTGGAAGATCAGGAATATCAAGAATTTATGACTTTCAGCCCGCTTGTTGGTGCACAATTTTGAAAATAAATGGAAGATCTATATGAGCTTGTCACTGTCAGAGATGACGCCTTATGTGCCTCTCAGAAGGTATTTCTCATATACCCGCATTTGACCCAATGGCCGACTAAAGAATCGATGTCCAAACATCCTACTAAGGAAGGCATGGTGAGTAAATTAAATCTTCCGTATTCAAATCCTTCGCAAAAGCATCAGCAAGGACTCGCTAATGATGTACCCTTCTTCCAGTGGTAATACTGTGGCCGTACAGACGACATCATCGTACCACTCAACGGTGTAAATATTACTCTCCTATTAATGGAAGGAATCCTCATGGCACATCCCAAAGTCGTACCAGCTCTTCTCACAGGAACAGGAAAGGTAAAAGCTGCCTGACTAATAGAGGTTATTCATCCGCCACAGAATGAAGAAGAGACTACTACCTTGGTAGAAGAACTCTGTCCTACTGTCGAGAGCGCAAATGATGCCACTTATCGTACGGAAGGCAAGGTTTCCAAAGCTAAGATTATCTTCACTTCAAAAGACAAACCGATGCTGAGAGCTGGAAAAGGATCCGTCCAGCGGAAATTTACAGTTGTGGAATTTCGGCGGGAGCTGGATGCCCTGTATGAACATGAATGAGGGTATTATTGTGTTGTAAACAATTAAAAAGTCCCAGTCCCAGATCATCTGCTCTACTCCAATTTTGAAATTGTCTGAATGCATAATCCAGATACTTTTTACACTCGATTTCGATAATGTCTCTGTTCTGAGTAATTGAGAAATTGACAAACTGGGAGATTTCTGGTCTCAAAGCGCTCTTTCCAGAGCCGGATAAATAGACGGGAAACTAATCTCAATTCAGGGCCTTTTAGTGAACCCCTTCTACCATCCAGATGATTGGTCTAGATCAGGATGAAACTCTGAGGTTTTGCTTGGTTCTATTGGCTATTTAGAATAGATGTTGTTACGATTTCATTTCTTAAAGATTTTTAATAAATTTATTTTATTAAGATTGGATTAACTAGTTATTCCTGTTATTTAATTTTTAAATATAGATTGATAAATTTTGTGTAATTTTAATATTAAAACTGTTTTTGGAAATCAGCAGCCTCTCTCTACTAAGATATCTATATATATAATCAGAAATCATTCTTTGGAAATTAAGACTAGTTTGTTGATAAGTATCTATCTGTCTATTCTTCATAGAGATTTCTTCATCGTTGTATTTCTATTTCTATTTCTATTTCTATTTCTATTTCTATCCTTACTCTCTTTTCTTTTCTGTAGGTTTCGTAAGGGTCAATATCCATCTCATCTCCCATAACATCTTCCATCCACTCTCAACTACTTCACCAATCAATACCTACCTAATAAATATCTTGCCAGAAACCCCCCCCCTCTCTCTCATTCACATCTTACAATCAGATCATACATACCTAGTAGATAGATAAATAAATAGTTAGTATATAATCTCCCACTATTCGATAACCCCCATCCAAAATAAACCTTGTAGAAGGGATCTAGGAACAGGAGAGAGGAGGGGAGGGACAGCAATCCCGCTTTCTTTGTACATTGTAATGCTACGTAAACATAAAAAGGGGAAAATCTCTACGGCGAGCGAGTTCATTTATTCTAGAGTCTAAGAAATATCGAGTCTGGAAGAAGAAAAGCTAGCGGAATCGAATCGACCAATCTTATCATCGATTGTCGATAGGTATTAAAGACTCAGACAATAAGCCGACACTATTCAAACCATGTAATCACATTAAGGAACTCTATCCGCAATCCACTCCACAATTTAGTTTGAATTGAATTGAGATAATGTGATAGATTCTCGGGCACAAAAAGTAAAATGATCAAAATCTGACATCGCTTGCTAGCTTGCTCCAAGAAATCGTTCTTCACCCACCCCCCTTTCCGCTAATATCATATATGGAACCCGATCCGCAACATGAACGCGCCATCAAGCGTGCAAAACGCACCCATCACCTATCCCCGCATCGTATACTCATCACCTAACAGGGCAAGGAGATACGAAAAAGAGAGAAGAGTAAATGGGGAAGAAAAGAGGCTTTTCACTCTCCATCCCCCAAATTGAATATAGAAGATAAACATACAAGCAAAACGCATTCAAAGGTATTTACCGAATCGATTCCCATGCCAAAGCTCCACCCAGATTCCATTTCGCATTTCGCTTCCCAATGCTATCCCATCGGAGCCAGGTACCCATTCATTTCCATTCCGCCCAAATCGAGATGTCGTACACACATATCGACAAATCCGCAACTCCGAAACAAATCCACTCTGATAAGATACTATATTCCACACCAATACCCAAGTTCTGGCATTTTTTTGTAGAAAAAAAAAAGAAACAGAAAGACATCTGTCAAAATGCTCAAGATTTCATGAACACGCTCAAAGAGAACCACATAACAACGCCACCAACCTCATCTTCAACTTTCTTAGAGTTCTGTGTTGTCCTATTCGAAAGAAGATGTCCGCCCAGCCATACAGTGTAAGTTATATCCCACATGATCCTCATCCCTAGCCATCCCATCCAACTCCATATCTTCCAGATAGATTCCGAACGCCCATATCCTTTAGTGTCAAGGCGCCGAATGAACACCCATCCGCCGACCCAGGCTTGCGCATCGGTTTGCGTTTGTAGTGTGTGCTTGCCATATTGTTGAAATTTTCATTTCAGCAAAAGAAAAGAAAAGAAAAGAAATCGTCAAGTCATGACAATAGATTGTCACGTTCTTATGACAATTCCTTCTTTACCATCTCCGGGCTCTCGTCGTTGGTAGAATCACTCAAAATCTCAGATTTATCGACAGGCGATTGAGAACCTCCATTGGTATTCGCAGCGCCATTTGCAGCCTTTGTTCCGCAGCCTTTGACGAGTATGTGTCTCTGATTTGGGGTTAGTCTGTGATCAAGGATAAACATATCGAAGAGAAGGAATACAAACCTTTAATGCATCTTTTCTCGAGAAACTCTTTTCGCAATGACCACATGGGAATGGCTTCACAGATAAGTGAATACGTTTATGACGTTTCAAATCGTGGTTGCGGTTGAAAGATTGCGGACACTGATCGCATTTGAATGGACGGTCATTTTGAGGCATCTGTTGAGGATGATGACTCCCATACATTGGTCCCGGCATTTGTTGATATCCCATATTGCCCATTCCACCGAGGAGTGCCATTTGACTACCAGGTTGGTGAACATTCGACATAATAGGTGCGCCTAAGGTGGGGAGATTGTAATGTGGGTATGAAGGACGGGAAGGATAGCCTTGGTGAGGTGCGCCCATGGAAGAATGCGAGTGATGAGTTTGGATGGGAGAGATGCGGTTAGAAGGGGCGGAGGAGGAATTGGGGGATTGTTGTGTAGGTGATTGTTGGGCATAGGCGGGGAAATTTGATTGTTGAGGGGTGGATGCGGGGGGATAGTAATTTGGAGTTGGAGGTGCGCGTCCGCCATAGTTATCGGGGGCTGGCACGTTGCCCTGTTGGGGTGCTTGAGAGGAGGATTGATGAAGGTTCATAAGATTGTGACTGGTCATATGTTGCTGCTGGGAGTTTTGTGGTGCAAGAGTGGGGAGATTCTGTTGTTGTCCACCTGAACCAGACATTGGGACTCCGGTAGAGAAGGGAGGAAGGCTCTCAAAGGTAGGTGGTGGCAGTCCTTCTGATGAAGTGGGAGAATGGGGAATTCGTGACCCTGGATAGCTACTCATGGAGGGCGAATATAATGGTCTACTCATATAGCTTTGCTGTTGTTGTTGCTGAGCATAAGGCGCACTCATCGGTGGCGCAGAACTAAATGTGAAGTTGTTTCCAGACTGAGTATTTGGCCAGAAAGCTGAAGGTTGATAGGGAGGTACGCCGGCCGTTGAACTACCCGAGCTACCACTGTTGACGCTGGATGCAAGAGGACTTAAGCCGTCATGCGAAACGCCAGCCGGAGGCGTTAATATATTGTTGGCGACAGCAGGAACAGGCTGGGAAGAACTGTTTGTGGTTCCGTGAATATAGTTGTTGGATTGTTGTTGATATTTGTGATGGTGCATTCCAAGGGGTTCTGGGGGGGGAAGCTGGAAGTTGGGAAGATTGGATGCGGCGGGCCGGCGAGCTGTAAAGCTGACGGTCTCCATGATAATCGTGGTAGATTATTGGAAAGTCCACGACGAAGGATTTAAAATAATGACGGCTCCTTACTTCTGCTCTAGATGACCAATTTCACTTTGTCGCGTGTGAAAAGTACTTGGTTCGGACGGGTAGATGCACCACCGAGGCGAGGGAACGAGGGAAGAAGTAGTGAAAAATGGGGGAGTGGAAATATTTCCTTCTTTTCCTAACTTGTTTTGCTTTGCTTGTGATTGTAGAAATGATAGGTGATTGTGACGGAGGAAGGGAAGAAGAATCGAGTAAGAAGGAATACTTTGAGTTAAAGTGCTCTCTTGATCTTTTTGAATAACTTGAGGAAGCCTCTGATTTTTGAATATATGGATATATGGATGGATTTGAGCCCAAAAGACGGTGGGATATTGGAGATCAAGAGATCAGACAAATCTCGTCGGTTCGTTAGGGATTTTGGTAGTGTATTTACTGGAATGGAGAATGTGGAGTTGTCGATCACCTGGATGGCGGCCGGGGAGGCGTCTGCTTGATTTATGTAGGTTATTGGGTCTGGAAAATGGTCTGTGCTTATGGAGTAGTGTGGTGTGGTGTGGTGTGTGTGGGTGTGGGTGTGGGTGTGTGGACTTTCGTAGGGTAGGGAGGGAAGTGTGGGTTGCAGATGCGTTTGGCTGGATCTTTCCTGGTCAGAGCTGGAGGGGTGAAGCAGTCTTTTGGATGGTGGTCTAATGGTGGTCTAATGCTTGATCGATTTGATTTGATTTGATTTGATTAACTTTACTGGGCGACCTCGTGGTAAAGGGAATACCGCTTAGGGACGAGGGGAATGGTTTGGATCAAGTGAATGAATGAATAAATAATCAATCAAAGTCGTTGGCAAACTGAAAATAGATGATGGATTGGTGAAATGCAGATGTATATATATAAATAATGTAACCAGAAATATAAATAAACTACGTGGTATTGTATTGTGTATACCGGTAGACCAATATAATATCAAATAAATGCAATGCTATCAACTCGATGTTGAGCTCGCTGGTCGACTGGTAAAAGTAAATTGGCTAAGGGGAAGTGCACTAGTATAAGGCTAGAGGAGCTTCCAGGCGTCCCAGCTACTGTATTGGATTGCCAAAATAAAAGATAAATATAAAAGAGAGTTTCGCGGTTTGGGGCGATTAGATTAATTTAGTGTCGTATGGCTGGGTACCTCCGAGCTCTTGGGAGCTAATAAGGCTAAGGGATCATAAGTGTGCGCGAGAAGAATATTATTAGACTAGAGTGGAAAAAGACATGGGGTCCTGCGACTGCGATTGATTGGGACCGAGAGTCGATGGAGCAAGGGATGCGGTAAGGATCGAGGGTTGGAAGGTTTAAATGTTAGATGCTTATTAGATAGATGCTTAAGGGTTGTTGAGGAGTGATAGATAGTAGTACAGTAGTAGTATGCGGAGTAGCTCTGGAGATTGGGCGAAGCTTCAAGGTTTCAGGTTATTGTTTCTCGATGGAGAGTAGTTCAAGGAATATTGGGGGTGATAGGATTCCGTTCTAGTATAGTGTGATATTGATTTGGTTTTCCATTCTTTGCGTGATTCGATTGGCTGACGACAGAATGTTTTGCTGGATATGACAGATTGGTTTGATTGATCGTTGGTATGGGTTTACGTGCAAGTAGGTCGTCTTTGATATATTTGATTTGCGATGTTAGGTTGCTGCTCGTTGCTGATCCGTTCCTTTCGATACTGGGTCTGGTGGGGGATATCCGGATCCCATATGCGATGTCCAGCTGTATGTAGGATGTATATGTACTGACGTCCGAATATGTGAAAGAGCAACAGAGTCACAGGTAGATCGGACGAGTAGGTAAGCTGGATCCAAGATGAGATCGAACGAAGGGGTTTGTCACTTATATCATTTGACGAAGTGACATAGGGTTGAATTTTTAAGATCTCAGATAATGTGATGGAATTATGTTATCAAACTGGTATTGCAACTACATATCTGATGAATATAGGATCGATGGATTAGGGATTAAATTATTCTCTTCGCTTCGTCTCGTCTCGTCTCGTCTCGTCTTTCTATATTTTGTTCAACAGCAGCTCTGAAATTGGAGTTGGACCCGAATTTCGACAGCTGTGCTTTGCTATGTTTCTGACATGTTCAAGGGTTGCTGCTGCTAAATATTTTTAAAGTGCTTACGTTCTTCAGAGTGATAGAGGTATTCCGACCTAGGATGTTCGCATTCAATATTCTACTTTCTTATTCTTCTTCTGGGTATAGGCATAGATAGGTACCGCTCATTTACAAAATTGTATTGTATCACGATCGTACAGTTATCAAGAGAGGGGAATATCTATTCGTCCCCATATTGATTGGATCTTATTTATTCATTTTATTTCTCCTTTAATCATTAAATATTTCCTATGTCTCTTTTTCCTTCCTTCCTTCTTTTTCTTATGCGATTAACAAGGATTACACTTGGTAAGATATGCATCACATTGCTTTTGATCGTTTCTTCTACTTTGTAGCTAATGAAAAGCTTGACTTTTCTATCATATGATGAAAAGACGGGACAGATACTGGGAGTTCTCCGTGGAGAGCATTAGAGACGGTATTTGTATAGTATTACCAATTGTCGTATGGTATTGCTGAATAGCTTCACATTATCTATTTACTAGTCGCTCTTGTCCCACTACCTACTCTGATGGTAATCTTCGAGCTCATACCAATATCCCCATACCAATAATGACCCCGTCGGCTCAAATCCACGCGATTACTGAAAGAGGTCTCGCCTGGAATAATACAGTTCAACTCATCGTTCCCCATGCTCAGTTACCAGGATTTCCCCCCAGCATTTTTTTCGGGCGTATGCGAGTATGTCCCAAAGGCGTTCTGGCTGAGCTATTTAGCTCGGGCGGCTTGAAGCCAAGGCGTGCGAAAAACAGGATGAATAAGAAAAAATTAACCTTGGGAACTTGGGGGGAAGGAAATGTCAGTTTGACCTGCACATCTTGATTCTAATGCTCAAATTAAGGATTTCCAGACTTCTGGCCACAGAAGCAATGGTGTGAGATCAAATTGGCTATAGCTTCTTTTTTTTTACGATGCATATGATACGAAAAAATACTTGTTATTTGGGTATTCTCATTCGAAATGATTGCCATATATTTTTAGGTATCTAGCGATTAGCCTATCCTAAAATCCTAGAATCTTACAAGAATGAATAGTAAGTAATAAGCTTGGGTGTACGGAAAGTCAATAGACTAGACCCTTCGAGTCGTAACATTTATTCTCCTACGTCTCATTGTTCACGTTGTACACCAATTTTCCCGTCGTGCGTCGCTCTTGCTTCATCCTGTACAGCATTCGGAGAATGGGAAAAGATCTGGGCATGACCATCGGACTCGAGAAAATATGCAGCCTGTAGTTACAAGACCAGGGCCATGTATGTCAGTATCGATTGCGATGATCTGGGATGTTTTCTGTCATATTTGGGAATTGTCGTATAAGTATGAGTATGAGTATGATCATACGTATACTCTAGATTCTGTCATTTCCCAAGCGCTTCTTGAACGAATAAAAAACATAGGTGGCGCCCTCGAATATTGTTTTCTTGGGATAATACCAAGACAATTTGGGTAGTTGTCAAAGACATGTGTGGTGAGTGACAAAAGAAAACATCCGAGATACTTGAAGCTTGTACTTCATTAGGATAGTGTCGTGTTCGTGTTCATTTTCGATGTTCATCGATCGTATCATTATACTTATCACCATCGTTATATTTCCTTCTTTTTTTACTCGCATTCACGGTACTTGTGTTGAGTTACTATAAGTATTTGTATTTGTTCCTGTCTAGCAACGCTTGACAAGGAACTTACCCACCTAGGTAAGTAGTTAGGTATTTATGGTCTAAAACATAGGTATACAATACAAAACAATACATCTTAGTCAGGACTCAAAAATCTCAAATCTAAGAAGATAAAAATATTCCCTCGAGACAAAAAAGAAAAGAAAAGAAAAGAAAAGGACCAATCTGGAATTTTGGGATGCACTGACCAGGGGTCTAATTGATTGGCGTCTTTAAGCTTCGGGGACCACCCACATTGATCCTCGTTTCCATGTAAGCTTGTTTTTTATGGCTTACTCACTACTGGGATTAGGGTAGGGGGAGGGGGAGGGGAGAAGGGTTGGAGGCCATGGTGTTTGAAAGAGCAAAGTAAAATGGAAACGGGTTTGGATGTGGATTTGGTTATGGGTTTGGATCTCATTAGACGATAGGATTCCTGAATAATGAGTAGTCATCAAGCTGATGATGAGTATTTTCTAAATTTTGGGGTCAGACATTGTGGTAATCCTCTAAGTGTAGATCGTCGCTGCTACGTATTTTAGTATCTGACTTGATATCTATCTATGGTGACTTGATGACATACATCCTATTCTTATCCATTTCTTTGATCTAACTCAACAACGACAAAACATCCTTCTCTCCAAATCAATGAACAAAATCGCCTTTTCCCTTCTCCATATCTCCTGAAAGTACTCAGATGACCTTTACATGATCAGGCAGCATTTAATGATCCTGAAATACATTTCAGCTGCTGTTCTGTCGAACATCCATATACCCATCAACCAAGTCTATCGAAAAGACTTGGCATACCGAGTAAACACAAATAAATAACCCTGAAACTGTTATACTATCCCACAATCTAATTCGTGATTTTGAACTTCAGCTCTACCCGCTAGACATACTCTTTCAGACGAGGAAATCTGAGCTTAGCGAGAGCACGTAAAGATGCTACATCGTAGACAACTCCAAAAATACAAAATAATGGATATACAGGATCGGTGTTCAGCGATGTTCGCTCGGTGACCTTTGAAATGTTTCATTGGCTGAATCGTTTATTTTGCCTGATTGGGGTTTGGTGAGTTTGTGATGCGATAGATGGGGGTCTAGACCGCGTGTTTGAATCTGTGTTCAAAATGTTTACAACTCGATTTCGATACTATCTTACATGAGTCTGAGCTTCGATGTGATATGAGAATGAGATCTTTTACTTTGTAGATGTTCACATACCTTGGTTGATTGGAATAGGAAAAGAGAAGCATGTAATTATGTGAAGTATGTATATGAGTACTGTGTGAGGTGTGAGCACGGAAAAGACCGAAGTGTCCTTATTTATGAAGGTGCAGTACGGTGCCAATCAAGTGGAAATGGTACCCTGCCCAAGTAAAGGTGTACACACCAACTCGCAAGAAAATCCATACAAGGCAGGTACCACAGTAACCCCCTCCAAAATACCAATAAGGCTATTCTCATCAAGAGAAGATAGATTTGTGGAATTCTCCAATGGTTCTTGGGTTCTTCTGTACCACATTTTGAAGCACAGTACCTGAATATCTACAACACTGGTATACGCCCAGTATTCTCCATCACTCGCATGTGCACATATGAGTTGGGTAGTATTTCTCGCTATCCACTTCCACAATCATCATCCGACGGTAGAGGCGACCGACCGGACGATCGATAGGATGTAATAGTATGGGGGCTTCAGGTTTAATTTTGGGGTACGGTCGCTACACATCGCGGCTTACGGCTCATCCCTATCATTACCCTTACAGTGGTTCCAACAGGCACAGTGGTCGTTCAATTCCGGGGTGAATGAAGGGGTAAATGAGAAAGCTAAGTAAAATCCAGTATTGATCATCCTACCTTATTAATCCTAGAGCGAACAAGCATACATTCTCATCTTACTAGGAATAGAAAAACGGGAAATCTCCAATTTGGACGGGAGTTACCATTTGACCGTTGGATACTTCTCTTTGCTCTTCCTTCGTCTCATTCTTTTGGTAGGGACTCACGATGTAAGTAAGTACTGAAGTATCAAAACAGTAAGACGGCTTTGGCTTTCTCCATTTGAACCGGAATCATACCCTGGAATACTGATGCCTAACGTAAAAGCGCAGGAGGGGGAAACTTCCCGTTTCCTCGTATCACCAACATTCTCGAGATTCGAGGTAATCAATGCCTGAATTGATCCGATTGATCGACTCTACGTGCATTATATCCCACTCCCGATTATCACTTCTTTTTGCTTGGGGAGGGGAAATGCCAATAAAATCAATTCCTGGAGCAAATGATGCTATCGATGAACAGTAATAAATTTCTACTGAATGACTAAATACCAATAGGAGGATGATACGAGTAGGATGATTAATTGCCATTTCCCTTATTCTGATGATCGTACATCAATACTTACTAACCCTATCTTAATCCTACTCGGAGCGAAAATCCTTTGACCATACCTATCTAGCTACTATAGATCCGCTATAATATACAACGTCGACATCCCTAGGAATTTTCAGCTTACATTCGTAACTGCAACACGCTTCTCCTATACACATTCGGTACCCGGCTGTTGCATTGCAGGTTCTCACTGCATGCTTTACATACTCTATGTATGCATGGTAGATAGAAGGGTCTGATGGAGACATAAGCGATGCCATTCATCATGCTTTCTCTCAGCAGCCCTTCCCAGCAAAGCGGGTGTGGCAGATGTGGTTTTTGAATTTTCCCACATCTGGTGGCTTTCCACCTTTTCTATCGATGGCTTTTCTACAGATACTCTAAATTATACCCATGGACCTTCCAGAAGATTGACAAGGAAAAAATCGTGGGAGTGCCCGTCATGTACCACTGCATTTCGGAATCCTGCTGAATACATTACAATTAACCTCCTTCAGGATGGTTTGTTGCGAGTGTCTGCTTACACCACCCTTCAAACTTTGAGCTCCGAAGACTTACATGAATCTCGTCTATGATTCCCTGCTAGTGCTGCAGACTTTTTCGACATTACTTGAGGAGCCGCGTACATTTCCCTATAAAAATAAACAAGAACAGGTCTTGGCACTAGACTCCAAATGATTTGCTAACTACA